TGAGGTGATAATCATGCTTGCAACAGATTTAAATTTTGGCCAGAAGGCCATGTGGGAAAGCAAAAGTGCGAATTTAAAAGTCATGAATATTTTAATCCTAAAATCTTCATCATCTTAAATATTTTATTAGGATTTCATAACAAATTTAGAATTTTAAATTCTAAAAAGCTTATATTGTATTCGTGCTTCTCAGACAAACCATAGAAAGAAAAAATGAAATTTATTTCAAGCATGCAAACATGCAATAGAAAATAGGAAAACAATTCAAATCAAATAATATGAAAAGGCTAGTGTCGTTTGGTCGGCAATATATCCCAAAAAAGATGCTGTTGGACTCAGCATATACATGTCTGATCCTAAATCTATACATCAATTTCAAATGCGAAATTAAGATACGAGATACAAACTATTGCTCCCGGTCCCCCGTCACGTGGTTCCCGCGCCAAAATACCTCAGTTGTCGTGCCCGTATCTTATTTTTGCTACAAAAATCTCTTAAGGACTTTAAAAAGTACACATGAAAAGTAAAAAAAAAGACACGACCAGGAAGAAAAACATGTTAGCACAAAAAGTCATCTACAAGCAATGTGTCTGAGATGCCTGGTGGGGGTGCTAAGCAGCAACTATAAGAAGAAGTTAGCATGTAAATCATCACATGCTCCCCCTTTGTTGTACCTATGTGTTTGCATATGTATGACATGGCTCCTTGTAGAAGACTGACCTAATATAATACAATGCATATAAAAATTAGCACACACAAGATCACCAAAAAAAATAAACTGACGCTTGGCTAGAATAATAAAATAAACAGAGAACTATAGCTAGAAGAGTCGAAAATACTATCTAGCATCTTAGTCCTAGCTTAGTACATCATCTAGTGAAAAGTGTTCTAACCATCATCTAATTGCACAAGGTAAAGTCTTTGGTTTTCGTATGACTTTGACCGGGTTGCCACTTCGACCCCATCCTAACGATCAAACAGATCTTAAGCACAAGAAGTGGGTGACACTTAAGAAGTGGCCTCGCATATGGTCTAACATATATAAATTTAAAATATGGGGATAATATTTATAATCTACATATAGAAAGGAATTACATCTGCCCGGGAGACCCGGGGCACCATGCAACAAGTAGGCACTCGCTACGAGTGAATTTGCATCAATTAAAAATATACCTATAATAAGAAATTATACCTTACTCAATAAGCATTCACCGAGAAAACATGCAAACATGCAAGATATGCAAAAGACATATAAGAAAAGTCAAGCAAATGACATGCATAAATGTCAAGCACATGACATACAATGGCAAGCATACATAAATGTTAAGTGCCAAATATACTAAGTCATGTGATTCATACAAGCGAGAGTACAAATAGTGCCTCATACAAGTTCAGTGGCTGTGAACATAACTCATATTCAACACGATGTGAAATACTTAACAAATCTCTGAGTGATGTCTTAGGGAGTGGGATAAATGGCTTGTAAGTGAACCAACTCTTTCAAAAGGGTGCAAGTGTCCATCCCTATGCATACAACGTCGTAGATGGGAAAGATACTTACAAGTGTGAGTGCCCAAAGAGACACCACAAGTGGGGGCGCTCAAAGAGACACCCTAAACATTAATGTTCAAAGATACATCCAAACCTGTCACATGCAAAGCATACAAGACAAACTATCTTACATGTAATGAAATAAATCATAGAAATCAAGTCAAAAGATTTTTCATACACACACAAAGAAAACATGCAACATGTAAAAAAGCACACAAGCATGCAAGTGATCAGTCAATCAGGCCATGGAGACCAGTCAAATTGAAAAGGTGTGTCGATCAATCTGGGATGATCGAGTAGACTCGAAAGAGTGGGTGATAGGCTTGAGACGATCGATTAGACCCAAAGTGGATGTTCGACTTGGTACGACCGATCAGACCCAAAAGACTGGGCGATTGGGTTGGGATGACTGATCAAACCTGAAAAATGTGTCAATCAGATCAGAATGACCATTCAGACCCAAAGTAGGTGATCAAACTGGTGTGGTCGATCAAACCCAAGTGATCGGGCGATCGAACCGGCCAATCAAGCACGGGAAATGGGTCGATCGGGTCGAGACGACTAACCAAACCCAAGCGGGTGATCAAACTGGTTCGGGTGACCGAGCCCATGAAATGGGTCGAACAAGTCGGGACAAACAATCAAACCTAAAGCGGGTGATCATACTGGTGGGGTCGATCAAACCCAATAGATCGAACGATCGGACTGGGGTGGCCGATCGAGCCCAAAGTGATCGGTCGATTGTGCCAGAGCGACCGATTGAATAGAAGCGATCACATTATTAAGCATGAAAAATGCAATGAAGCCATAATTGATCACACAAACAAAGCAATCCAAATCACTTCAACGGTACGTCGAACTCGTCCTATTGATATCACTTGGGATCTAGGGTTAAATCGATGGAAGAGATGTCAATGCCATATTGCATGAAGCAACGTGACCTTTTCACCCGTTTGCCCTAGCAAAGGATTTACTCATGAGGAGAACTCTTCGCTATTGAGCGAATGACGATCAAAGGGGGTGTCTTCATCTGCCAGATCCTTTGATTTCACTAGTTCGTCCAAGCGAAACTGCTGAAAAAATATCGAGATTGACACAATCTTATTTTTCTGGGATTTTGGTGCTAGGGCTCAAGGGGAAATCACTCAGATTCGTGTGGTAAAGTCCACGAAATGTTTTATAACCTATTAGCTTCCTCTAAGCATATGAACCCTAAGTTTTTAATCTTCTAACAACCAGACCTAAGGGACTTTATGAATAAAAATATGAAAGTTGAGAGGATTATACTATCACGGTGGTTGGCTGATGTTCAATGGTGTCCGGAAAGAAGCTCTCCTAAGGTAGGAGAGAAGCCCACCCAAGTCTTTCTCCCAAGTACGAAGAAGCTCTCCTCAAGGAGGAGATTTCAACGACGTCTTGAACTCTGACAAAGATCCTTCTCCTAGAAACGAGGAAGCTCTCTCAAGAAGGAGACTCTGACTAGGAAGCGCACAAGAACTCCCTTCTTCCTCTATTTTTTCCGACAAAATGGTGGTAAGAAAGAGATTGTCAGAAAGAGAAATAGAGAGGAGGAATAAGAAGAAGATGAAAGAGAAGAGGTGAAAGAAGGAGATAGGAGAAGAATCAGAAAGAAGATCTCTCAAATCTCTCAAGAATCTCTCCAAAATCCCTCCCAAGCTCCCTTACAACCCTCCTAGACCAAACTTGCCAAATGAAGTTCGATCCTCTCTCTCTCACAAATGCCCACCCGCTTAACCCATCTCTTTTACACCACCCAACGGATCAACACTACTTACCTCAAATGGTAATGGTTTGGCCCTCACTTCTTCCCATTTTTGGGTTAAAAATAAGGCAATAGGGTGCAATGGAGGTTTATCCAACGAGTTTTAAAGAAATAAAATGGTCTGTTGGGCCCAAATGTCGCATTTTGAAACTTATGCGCTCGAGCGCTGAAGCGCCCGCCACTCAATGTACAGTACTTACCTATTGGGCGCAAAAGCCGCTACAACGACATATAAGCAGAGTCAGCTCAGTTTGGAGAATTTCACGTGAAGAAAATTGGGCACTCAAGCGCCCCGATCATACACTTAAGTGCCCAAGGCCAAAACTGTGATTCAACAATTGCATACAAAGAGGTTGGCGTAAAAGAACCCACCATGGACGCAATAACGCCCATAGAGTAAATGGCCTCTCATTTGGAAGGCACCAAACCGAGGGGTGAGGGTTTGTCTCCTTTGCTTCCCGCATGGGCACAATTTTGTGCAAATGGATTTTTATGGATCCTAGACAACTATAGGCTATTTAGGAGTGAAAAAGGGCTCTCCAACATCTATATGAACATCGCGGGTGAGCCTTATAGGGCAAAAAATCGCTTTTTGAGGGTTGGATACAACCCTCAAAATCAAAATCTCATTTTTGTGTCGAGATGTCGATAAGAAGGTTTTGACCAATCTGACAGCTACAAAAAATTGCTTATCACTAAAATACAATTTCGTAACTCAAAATGAATATTTTAGAGATTTTAAACTAGGGATTTAGTGCCGACGAGCGTCCCGGACCCCTGCGTTGGTGGGTCGGTCTGATCCTCAATTTTTCTGAAACGAGCTCATAAGAGTTTTGTCATTGCCCTTGAACACAAGAACTTCAGAATAGACAAAGTATTGTTTATAAAATCCTAAATGGACCTCACGTATGTTTCATTTCAAAACCATTGTTGTCCGACGGAGAATTCTCCTGGGTGGGACTAAATCAGTACTGACCCTAGTTCCGTGCTCGAGACACATAACAGGAGGTCTGAATGAATGTCTTGGACTACGGGAGACTGAACACAATCCCATATCATTCAAAAAGTGATGCCAATAATCTCCACCAATAACAACACCACCACGACACAAAATCTCCACCAATAAGACCACCACCATTACACAACATCACCACCAACAAGACCACCATCATATGGCACCAAAAAAAAAAAAAAAAAAAAAAAAAAAAACACCCGCACCCAAACTACAAACACCATTGCCAAATCTAACAAAGAGGGCAAACCACCAACAAGAACCAAATTGATAAGTAGAGCAACAATATCATACTACAAGTCTGCTCTAATTGAACAAAAAATAATATAGAGCAAAGAGCCCTAACTAAGTAAGCCGCACTGGGCCAAAAAAATTAAAATTTCTTTCCAGATGCCAACACCGAGCAAAAAACTCAAGCCACACTGGGCCAAAAAAATTAAATTTTCTTTCAAGACGCCAACAAGTCACACAAAATCAAACCACATACCACATGGTTCATAAAATGAAAGGTAAGGGTAGTGCCAAAAATCAAATATGGTCTCAATTTATACCCTCCCAACATAGAGCAGAGATCACAAGCCACACCGGTAATCCCACGCCCCACCTTTACATCAACTTATCCCAAAAAAAACCCGCCCCACCACTCTTTTGCCGCAAACGCACCCTTAATAAGCTCGGCTGTGGCTTCCTTCTTCGATCCTTTTACTCCATGGTTGAAAGAGCGGCACCTGAGAATCAAAAGAATATCGCGCTTTAAGCTAATTAAGGGCATGGAGACTCCGGAGCTTCCAGAGATTTGGAGAAGAGAGCTCGGTCTCTTGCAGCCACGATCCTTTGCTTACCGGGTCGGTGGTTCCAAGGTTCGAACTGAAAGTTTTCATGTTATTCTTTGCCTTCTTCGCAATTCGAACCTGATATACCTAGCTTTATCGGAAATTGAGGATTGTAACGAACGTATAGTGATTGAAATACAGAGGAATTTTGAAGTCTTAGGGTTCAGCATCTTCCTCCCCCCCCTTTATCTGTTTCAGACAATGTATTCTTTGGTTAGATTACAGAAAACAATGCAATTTTTTTGAATTAATGATAGTGTCGATCTATGTTCATTGCTTGATTAAATCTTTCTTTGTTCATAAGCCGAGCCCCGGACTGTACGTCAAAATTAACATTCAAGCGGTGTCTGGACTACATTATATACAATCCTGCTAATGAAAGGGTTTTCAGGAGAAGGTACATGGTACCTTTATCATGCTATATGGTACAACCCTTGCTGTATTGGCATGAGACAATAGTAAACAATCTACTGTATTTGCCATACGGTAGATATGAATCCTTACACTATTGTAATATATCGAACTGCTTCCACTTTGCATGAATTGCATTTTTGTACTTTATTTTCAGAAGTCCTGATGTTCTAATTAAATGTTTGGAAAAACCGTTCGGTTATTTTTTCAAATGGTTAACGTTTTAACTTTTTTTTTTTTCTTGCAAGTTTAATCAATGTACTCCAACCACAGAAGTTCACCAATGATAGACATGACTTAGTGATGTGAAAAATCAAATAGAGTTTTCATGGGATAGATTAATTATCTGTTCTTGAAATACATAATCAATAATCTTGATTGTTGCTTCTGTTGTCATTTGCAATTTTGTTGTTTTATGGGTATTTGGAAGTTATTTTACCTCTCTTGGTATTAAACCCTGTGAGGGAATGTTTCATGGACATGCACATACTAATGAATATGTATTTTACTGTAAAAAACAAGGGAATCAAGCATACTTTTAATTTGTTAAGAATTTTCTTTGTAAAACCTTTGACATTTGCACTTATCCATATGTGGTAGAGGGAACGTTGGCACATATCTTTCATAATCAATCAATTATGAGATTTATTGATTAATCTTTTTTTTTTGTTAAAAAGGTAGATTTACTTGTTCTGTAACTTAAATTGTTCGGGCGCATGAGATATGAGACTATACCACAAGTTATGATGCTAGAGTCCTTAGGCTCAGGTTGAGTGTTCTGTGTATGATGATGTTTTTATCATGTAAGTCATATTTTAATCGATTTCTTTCTTTTGTTGATTTGGGATGGCTTTTGGAACTACATTAATTGTCATCTAGTGTCGATGTTTTTTTTCTTAATATGCTATATTTTTATGCCACAATATTTTTTAGATACAGCAATTCACTTTATTAAAAAAAAAAGAAAAGGTTCTTTCATCATCCATTTAAATCTAGGTAACCATTTAATTGTACATCTTTGAAAAAGAAATTAAGCTTTAAGAACCTTGAATTCATTTCATTTATAAACTAAAGAAGAAGATAGTAATAGTTTAGATTTTAGAAGGAATTTGTTTACTTTGTGATGCTTCAATGGTTTTCTCAGGACTGCAATGTGTTAATCAAAGTTAGTGGAAATCAAACATAATGATCTTTGAACAAGTAAATTTTATTTTTCTTGCGTACCTAAATAGGGATGTAGGTGAACCAAGCTGACTCGTGACTCGGCTTGGGCTCGACTCGATAAGTGGCTCATGAATTGAGCTTGATGATCTAATACGTCAAGCTCTAGCTAGCCCCGACTCAACTCGTTAGCTCATGAGGCGTTTCATTTAAAAATAATTAATAAAAAATACTTAAAATTTTATTAATTTTTTTTTTAAATTATTAAAAATTATTAAAAAATTATTATTTATTTTATATCAAATGATTTCTTATTAATTATCTCCTAAATACTCATTTTATTTGTCAATTCATTATAGCAGTAGCTTAAAATTAATATTTTTTCTCTCTTGAATACCAAACAAGCTGGCTCATGAGCCGGCTCGAAATCATAGAATTAAGCTCGAGCTCGACTCGACTCGTTTACACCCCTATACCTACGTCTGTGATCTTGGTTATAAAAACTTGTCTATGTTTGTAACGTTCTGGTATTATTTTAATTTTTATTTTTATTTTTTTTTTGGTGGGAGATATGTGAAATGAAACCATACCTCATATTTACATCCCATCCTCATTCTCTTGTACACAAAAAATACACTATTGAGCTACCATTCTTTTGCTGTGAGAGTATTTCAAACTATAGCTTTTCATATTGCCTGAAACTGATTGCTTGCATTTTTGGTTTCACCTAAAAAGTCCTTAGCTCGAACAATGGTTTATTTAAGTTCCTTTTATGCATAGGACAACTCCCTCAGTTGCTGACAAGTAATAAAAAAGTAAGATTTGATTGCAAATACTTTAGGGGCTGTTTGACTGCAGGTAGGATTCAGTGTTAGTAGAGCTTAGTCAATCCATTAAATCCACCCGCCTCTAGATTTAGTAATTCTCGATTTAAACTGAATCGAAAACTAAATTGGGGCCACTAAGTGCGAAAATTCATAAATCCACGGAACACGTATATTTTCACCTTTTGGCTGTATTTAGTAAATCCGGAGATAAATCCTATTAACAGGTGCTACCAAACAATCCCTTATTTTATGCCCTCACTGTCCACGAGTTCCATTTTCTGAGCAGTTGACTTTTATTGTAGTGGATACACATTTGATTATAAAACTTAGTAGAACTGATTTTCCTTAAACTACCCGAAGAGCTTACCATGCAAAAGTGAATGATAAACTTACGTAAGTTATCAATTTGATAGTTGATTCTAACTTATTATTCGTGCTAACAATTTAAATAAAGATAGTAGTAAAATGGTACAACAGCTCTCGAAAAATCTTTAGAATTCTATATGGTGTGACATCATAACTTATGTGATCATTTTAACCAGATTCTCAAAATACATGTTTGAAGCATTAATTTTATGGAAGTTGCATAAATGGAACCAATGTTTTGTATCGATTTTAAAATTTAAATACTAAAGAATGAAACTAAAGTTTAAACTAACTATGGAGATTATTGTGATTGTCAACACTATTGAAAGATAAACTTTTGTGATAGAATTAAAACTGAAAATAAAACTGAGTTTTAGAGCCTTGATTGAAACTTTATTTCATGTAGCACAATGCAACATTAGTTTATCATGAGAAATTTTTTCTTACTAAATTTGAGAGTTTTCCTGGAGTACTAGTTTCGTTACCCTCATGGTGATCTAGTGATCATGGGTTTGAGTACTAGGAATTATTTCTCAGGAATGTTGGGGTAAGGCTGTTTTCATCAATCACTCGTTAGACTTTGCATTGGTTGCTTTTCTTAATATGTGGTCAATGTTTTGTTCTTTGTAATGTATAACTTGAAGTTAACTGTTAAGATTTTTTAGAATTTGCTACATGGAAAGATAAATTTTCTAGGGGAAATAATATTTATTTTGTTACAATGGATTGGACGAGATCTATTTCCAATGAACTTCTTTTAAATTATTTTCCTTGTTCATTAGTTTACCTTTTAGTGGTTCATCATCAATATTCATTTTATAGAAACTCTTTAATTTTGTAGGAGTTGCTTTTATGAATGTATTGCTCATTGCTTCATTTTCTCTTTTTTTTGTGTTAACTCGACTTTGTTTGTTTATTGTTAAAAGATCATTGAGTAATTTATTTGAAAACTCGAAATTTAATGTTTTTCTTGTGTCAAATATATAAAATATTTGACATTTTATACTGATATGTATGTGTAGGAAAGCTCTGTTTCCATTTTGTTTTTTGTGAATGTACTCATCTCTCTTCTTTCTTTTATTGTCTTCTTAATACACTGACCCATGTTTGCTTTAGTTAAATGTAAGCAACATATTTCTTCAGTGCTAAAGAATAAGAAAAAAAATATTTAAATCAAGCTATTAAAAATTTAACTGGCCATTTGCACATTTTATTGTCCTGTTATTGACCAGGCAGTTGTAAAGCGCTTAGATCTTTATGGGAAGTTGCATGGTCATAAGGGGTGCGTCAACACTGTGCATTTTAGCCCTAGCGGAGATATTGTCGTGTCTGGTTCAGATGACAAAGACATCTGCTTTTGGAATTGGTCAACCAAAAGAAAAATTCTTACATATGATTCAGGCCACAACGAAAATGTATTCCAGGCTCAAGTCATGCCATATACTGATGATAGGATTGTAGTGACCTCTGCCGCTGATGGTCAGGTTTGCCCTTTTTACCCTATTTTATTGCTTTGTATTCCTTTTATACATTAAATTTACTTTGATCTCAAGGATTGTGTGGGCTCCAAAAATTCACGACCGCTCCCTGTGAACTCTCATGCATTTATATTAGTTTTGTTTTGTTGAGATAGAGAGCTTTGAAGGGTCCAATTTTCAGAAGATAGATTGAATTGTAGATACCAGACTATCTAGAGATTTCACCATTATTTTGTGAATATTTTTTGATCTAGTGATCCACCCCAGGGATTAGCACTTTTTATTTAAGTCCTGGTAGTAGTACCTGAAACTTGATCTGCTCTCTAGCAAAAATGTTGAGTTTTTAAAATTATGTATTATTACTCATTGGGGTTTCTCATGCAAGTATACGTATCGTTTCAACAATATAGGGCTCTATTGAGTCCGGATTGTCGATCCCACAGGAAATAAGATAACGAGTCCTATAAGAGAAGTTCTAGTCCACTATGCTAAGGTCTCAGTTTGGAATGTCGATTAAGATTGATTTTCCTAACAGCTAGTCAGAAGTTAAGATTCTATGACTAAGTTAAATCTATCTAGATCAATTGAGTTGGTGAATATCAAGATATAAAAGATACATTTCTCTTGTGATTGTATAAGTAAATCGTAGGATCAAATACTATAAATTGTTAATGTAGCTAGTGAAAAATAGGAGCATTTCTCTTCTTTACCCTCTGACGAGAGCATAAAGAAGTATGGTTAACCTAGTATTAAATCCTTAAACCCTAGATTACATTTGTTACGACTTTAGCTTGTTACCCTAGAGTCTCCAATTTATACCTTCAATTTGGCTAACCTAGTTTTAATTCATTAAACACTAGATCAAAATTGTTTGGATTCTAGCTTGTCACCCTAGAGTCCCCAATTTACACCATCAAAGCCTATTTTCCTATCTATTTGTAATGCTTTATGGACTATTTTTTCTTCACTCACCAGTGCAATGTGGTTTCTCCTAGTTGTTAAAGTCATAACTCTCTCGAGTCATTATGGATTCATAACAAATTTTAACATATCAATTGATCAGATTGATAAGTAAATTAAGCATGAAGTAAAAAACATCACATTAAACTTTAAAGATCAATTCTATAAGCATTTAACATCCTATACATTCAACTTATTCATCACAAGAGAAGGGTAATGACATTCTACTCACAAAGGATGTTTAACACAACAATAAACTTCATTACATCAAAGCAAATCCACCAAATATGTGTTTACACTAAAGACAAGTAAATAAAGAACACAATACTTAGTTTTTTTCCTCTGAAAAAGAGATGCAAATCCCTCCAACAAAGCCGTCTACTATTCCTTGCAATGCTGATACAAATCCCTTACAGAACTGCACTCAAGTTCACTCTCCAATCTCTGAAAAACAATAAAAATCTACAATCCCTACTTTTATCTATTGACTTCTTGGTGTCTTTGGAGGATTTCCGGACTTAGAAATGCCAAAAAGTGTCTTTCCAACCATCCAGATTTGTCAAATAACTCCCTAGTTCGTCCTGAAACCACCTCGGGCAGTTTTGACGCCTAGGCGTTGTCTTCTCTATTTTCTGGGAGAACACTGAGGCCTAGGCGCCAGTCTACCGGCAACCTCTTTGCTCTAATTGCCTCCGTTTCACTCATTTTTTGCTCCAATTCAATCCATGTGTCGTACATATCATACCTGCAAGAAAAACATGAAAATATCATTCTTTAAAGTGTTTTTTCATTAAAAAACAAGTGCTAAATGTGAAGGAAATTAAACATGCTAAAAGACATCATCTGGGATTTGAAATTTCCATAAACACAAACTTCTATGATTAATTACCTCTTTCGATTGTGTGAGAGCACATTTGATTAAAACTAACCACTAAGAATTGAGAATTGAACATATAATAGTAGCCGATTTAAGATTTTAAATTATAAAATTCATCACTTGAAATTTAAAGTGGATGGTGGGGGAATGAAGACGAAACCTGATCAAGATGTCAGGGTTCTGTTATCCCAGGTCGTCGTGGTCCCTGATTTACTTAGTCGGAGGAGATAATTGTTCCAACATAGCATAAGGATTCTTGTCAGCAGCCATGGGTTGCGTCGTCCAAGAGATCCTTGTAGATCTAGGGTAGATGCTTGTCTAAGGGAACAAATTTACGTCGACCTTAGCTAACCGAAGGCTTTATGCCAACCAATTGTCTCCTTATGATTCACAATTCAAAGGGTAGAAAACAGTTGGAAAAATACGGGCTGTGACTATGACCATAATATAATTTTTTTCATTTGGCGGCAACCACCCGGTCAGAGGGCTCTAGCCGTAACCGCTATCTTGTGGTGCCATTTGACAGTAGAATCACGTGAATAGAGGACTCAGGCCACGTCTTTATTGACATGCGATTACTTCAATTATGGATATAAGATTCGCTCTTTGTGAGCTGAAGTCAATCAATAGTTTGTCATCCTCGACAAAATATTGTGGATGGTGGATGAAGTTTACTTTAGCTTTTAAGTGATTGAATTTTAATTTGAATATTTTGTTGGTTACTTTGAAGATCTTGATTTAAAAGATAGACCCCTCAAGTTGAAATTTTTGATCAACACGGTCATCATTAGGGTATTGATCATTTAAAATTTTTATATTTGAAATGAAGGCATTTTAGTTTTGTTTTTTTTTAAGCTATTCAAAGTATAAGTCCCGTCGATTCATATTTTTCTAGGTAGGAGGATCGAACTTGGTGATTTGAACTTGTAAATTTTTATTTCAGATTTTGACGTTTATTTTAAAATTATTAAACTCGTCAACTCCAGTCCTTGCAGGAGGAGAATCAGACTAGTGGACTGATTTGAACATGTAAACTCCTATTTTAGATTTGGACATTTATTTTAAAAATACTAGAATCGACAACTCTAATTCTTACTAGGAGGATGTTCGGACTGCTGGGGTGTGCTTACAACTCTGCCCTATAGACAAAATGACCCGATTAACCCGTGCAACGTTCTTAAATATAATTTTTGAGAATTCAATATACTGGTTGGAGCACATGTGGGTTTTATTTTTCATGTTTTTGAATAACGTAAAGAATTTGAAAACTTTGAAAGCTTGTGAAACCTTCAAACTATAGCTATGACTAGCAATTTAGAACAAGGGATTTTGAAATCATGTAAAAGATTCTTATCTATATGAATCTCCTAAAGCATACCCAATTTAGAGAATACAAAATAAGTCTCAAAACACTATCATATATTTCAAGTCATCGCACTTATCTCAGGAGTAACCATGAAGTTTGTATAGGCTTTAAGGATTTTAGCCATTTTGAAGCTATGAACTTTTATTTGAAAATTATCACATGCAATGTTACTTCTTCAGACTTTAAGTGGGGCCGCATTTGTTCACTAGTAAGAGTATTGCGAATCTGGTGGCAGTTTGACATATTAATTCTTTATTTTAGCATTTAAAAATGGCATTCATGTCTTAACCTTAGCCTCAATTTATGATATTCAACATTTAAATTAATCTTAGCCCCCAATTTGCAGAATTTGACATTCAATTTAAGCTTGAGCTCCAATCAAGTTTAGCCCCAATTTGTGATGTTTCTCATTTAAGTTAAGCTCAGCTCCAAAATTATATAATTTGGTATTCTATTTAAGTTTAGCCCCCCAAGCTTACCCCAATTAAGCTAAGCCTCAATTTATAGATTTAAATATACCATATACAAATTCATTGGTACTTGGATATAGATTTTTTTTGTTTGTGTACTTTTCAAATATGATCGAATTTGAAGTCAAAGAAAAGTTTAATTATATTAATTGGCGAGTCATTCCATTTTTATGAATCTTATGCAAATTTTAAATGCATATAATTTATTCTCTTGAAATGGCTTCAATTATAATTTAAGTGTTATTCTGTATCTTGTAACATACATTACTTTTAATTTTATATATTATTTTTAATGTCCAAACATTCCATGTTTTTATATTATTTACAAGTCCAAATTCACCTGAAATTTCGACAGCCTTTCAGTGTCAACGCCCGTTAGGGGCACGGGAGAATGCCAACTTTCCTAGCTATCTCAAAAGAATCACTGGTCAGTGTCGTAAGGCACTGCTGTCGGAGAAGAAAAAGTGTACTTCTTTTCGCAGTCTCAAAAGATGCAATGAGGAGCAAAAAGAACATTTAACTCGCAATCTCAAAAGATGTGACGGGCCTTCAGTATACCTACATGAAGGGTTAGATTGCAAGCAAAGAGCCCCCTCCCTCGATTTCAAAAACTACTCCAGACGAGTTCACGTTTTTCCCCATCTAACGGGTTTTTTGCTGTCCTCAAATGGAGGTTTTCAAAAATTTCCCACTGCCCCAATATTATACCACAAGAAAGTGTCAGATCTTAATTTTTTTTATTAGAAATTCTCTAGAGAAGTTCATAGTTTTCCCCGCCTAACAATTACTTTGCTCTCCTCAATAGGAGGTTTTCAAAAAAATTTTCCATTGCCCCAAGCGTTGACAGTGACGACGACAAACAAAATAAAATACAACACATGTTGATGCTCGGGGAGGGCAGAGATAATTGGACCGAGTGAAGTATTTGAGCTCAAATAAAAATCACAAAGGGGCTCAGGTAGGGGTAGTTGGGTAGGGGCAGTGATGTGAACAGGAGATCGTGTGAAGACTGGGAGGAGCAGAGAGGCTCGGCTTCGGTTCGGGAAGAGCTCTGCTTCTGCTCGAGCATGGAGCATTTCGGCACGGGGAGGAAGGATCGGCTTCACGTGCACTATTACAACATTTACTTAAGGGGATGCTCTCACTATTTATTTGGAGCCATTAGCTAATAATAGCATTCGAGCATATGAAAGTTTAACTGGCCTTGGAACTCGTGGAGTAAAATCATCGAATTTTGTTGTAACTGAGCATGATAAGAAAAGAACAAGTTATGGGTTGCATTAAATCAAGAAACAGAAAAGATACCATCAAGTAGATTGAGTTATTGACTAAAGATGAATCCATCCCGGACATTTATACAAAAATGTGACATAGCCTTGCATTAATTCGGTCTTGCGGGACCAATCCACAGTATGAATACCAACCTATGCCTTATGTGGGGTTGAATTCTACACAAGAAAGTAACATTTGAATTTTCTTTTTTTGTTTTCACTAGTGAAGGTTTGCATTTTTTGCTTCACATTTAAAATGTTTTCCATTAAAGATCGCTCTTGAACTCAGTTTTTACGGATAAACGGTGATTTGATCTTGCCATAGAACTCTTGAAAATGGGGGATTGGGATCGAGGAGGGGAATAAGAGGGTGCCAACAATGGGAGTTTTTCATTTTATTTTTATTTATGCCTAAAAAATCCAAAAGGAGAGAGATTTAAAAACTTACAATGACTGATTGACTACCTAACTTGCACTTATTGTTCTTATACTAATGAATTAAATGACCCACAAAGACATAAATCCATTCATTGCATGTATTATTTCCAAATTCTCCATCAAAAAGACCTGACAGTTATCTTTCTCAGGTAAGACTTGGTGAAGTTATGGAGGATGATCAAGTAAGCACTAGACGGGTCGGGACGCATCAAGGCCGAGTTCACAAACTGGCCATAGAGCCTGGAAGCCCACACATCTTTTACAGCTGCGGCGAGGACGGCCTTGTTCAGCAGGTAAAATACTCAACTCATTCATATTATCATTTTTCTCCCGAAACTGTATCCTGTGTGCTCCAACTTGATAAATGTCAACTATTGCATTGCAGTTTGACCTGAGAAACCAAACCCCAATCAAACTTCTAACATGTTCATCATTCTCAGCAAACAAAAACTCCTTAGGATTGAATTCCATCTCAATAGATCCAAGAAATCCTAATTATTTTTCCACAGGAGGTCTTGATGCTTATGCCCGAGTCTACGACATCAGGAATTATCCTTGGGATGTGTCAAAGGGCTTAGACCAACCCGTTAACACCTTCTGCCCGCGCCATCTCATTAGCTCAACCAATGTTCATATTACAGGGCTGGCTTACTCTAACAAGAGTGAGTTGCTTGTTTCCTACAGTGATGAGCTCATCTACTTGTTTCAGAAAGAGATGGGCATTGGCACACAGCCTAATACTATCCAAGCTGAGGCATTGCAGAACCTTGATCAACCACAGGTGTATATAGGCCATAGAAATTCACATACGGTGAAAGGAGTCAGCTTCTTCGGACCATGCGATGAGTACGTCACGAGCGGTTCGGACTGCGGCCATGTTTATATCTGGAATAAAAAGAGCGGCAAACTGGTTCGAATGATGGTCGGAGACAAGCAGATTGTAAACTCTGTGGAGCCTCATCCTTTCTTCCCTTTGCTTGCTACCAGTGGGTTTGATAAAAACGTTAAGCTCTGGACACCAATGTCCAGAAGCACAGCTCCACTTCCTAAAAATGCAGAAGAGGTATTGATTACTGAACAAGATTTGAAATTTTCAATTCATACAACTGAATTTCTCTGTTTTTTGCATATCCAACACCAAAATTTCGAATGATGGTCTATTGTATAACAGATAATGGCAGCTAACAAAAGAAGAAGAGAAGTTCGATCTGGCATAACACTATCTCCTGATGTTATAATGCATGTATTGATGCTCCAGAGGAGGCAAGCCTTAATTTATCATGAGGCTACTCCCACAGAAGCTGATTCAGATAGTGATTCAACCCCTGAAGATGGCTCACCTGCAGATCCCACAGAATGCAATATTAGCTGAGGAACACAGAAACTTAACAGAAATAAAATAAAGGTTACTATGTTTCCTTACATGTTATCTGCTGCCCTCCATTGATTTGCTTGTTCTTTCATTTCAGTTTTGTTGACCTTCATATAAGACTGATCGATTGGCGGAACGCTAATCAACGCTTAATGCGCTAACTCCTGTCAGGTCTGGGAGCTGAAGCGGTATGCAACTAAATTTGAGTACCACCTGCCTTAAGGAGACACTGCACCAACAGGGGATTCGAACCCGGGACCTAAGGGTGCTTGCGATCTTCAAAGAGGTTGCTCTACCAACAGGCCACAGAAGGTGCACATTTATAAATATTTCAAAGCTTTTGATTGAGCACGACTTATTTTGATAGTTGCTGAAGTTATATAAGCTTTGCCCGATATTCATGGAGATTATCTGTGTCAGTGCATCTAAAACATTGAAAATGTCTACGAAGGGTTATCCGATGGAGATGGCGCGCACTAAATGTGATGACACAAACATCAAGTCCAAGATTCTTCGATCGACACGTCGAGCGGACCCAATTGACACAAATTTGTGAATTGATCTATGTCGAAACGACGATAGTACTTGGCAAGTCCTAACTCCTATAAGCTCATAGTCACTGTTGTCAACTCTCGTACTACGTGTAGAATTCGCATGCATGTGAATTTCATGTACAACAATGTTGTACACCGTTGTATAACTTGTGTACAATGTATCCGTTCATAAAATTCTAGCCAAAATCCAAAAAGGCTGCAATCCAAACCCGCCAAACCAACACCACGACTTACCCGAACCTCCATTTCCCTTTATACCAAAAAAAGAAAAAGAAAAACACATACATGGCATCCGGATTAGACACGGATGGTGTTATTGGAGGTGTTATTAGTAGTATTGTGGTATTATTTTGATAAAATAATACTACAATACTACCAATTACACCTAAATACTATGATTTGCACATGAAACTGTATCAGGACTTAGACATGGTGGGAATGCCCTTATTTATGTCATGGCCCTCTAGGTGGGCATGAGTTAGAACACGGTCGAAATTTTGATTGAAATTTGGACTTAAAACTAAGAAAAAGAAGTTAAATTAATCAAGATATAAAAGAAATCAAATTGATATAAAGAGGGCATACAAAATAAAAAAAATAATAAAAAAAAAAGGTTCATTGTAAAATTTAAAAAAGGAAATTTTAAACACAAACACAACTTATAGAGAACTCGATAGCTCACCAATGACAACGAAGATAACCTCAAGTGAATTCTACAACTCGTTTGTAAAATCAAATAGAGCTCTCTGCTCCACGAAAAATTGATGACTGCGGACGCCGCACGCAAAATTTGCATGTTATGCCCTAGCTAGAGCATAAAAAATTTAGAGTGGGCCCCATTTCAACAATAAAAAAATAAAAAGATGTATTTCAATGATCTAGGTCTAGATCGGATATTGCATGTAAATTTATGTGCGGTATCAGTACCCAGTACCCAATAAACGGTCCTACTCCACGCAACTAACCCATGACTTCCAAAATTTTAAAGCAAATACCTACAAAATTCCTACTCGTCCTCAAAGTCGCCACCAGATCCCCATCCCCCAGCATGAGTGGACAGAAGGCAGTACATAAAGCTTAAATGAAATAATTGGACAATTTAACATTAAACTATTTGCACATATATTTAAAATTCAAATTAATTTTGGGCTTAATATTATTTTTGAAATACACATGTGCTCCGATTACGGTACTGAAAGCACGAGCGGCCTATTCGAGAATGTTGTGCGGGCATAAATTGATGCAAATAAAATATCGGAAAAAATACATACATAGCACCCGATTCTTATAGATTTACCTCTCACACCTAAAATTTACCTATGGATATGGATGAAAAGATGTATTTGACTATTAAACGATGATAATGAGTGCTGTTTTTCATATGATATTTGTAATTATGAAAGGTTTCAAGTAAGATAGGTAAATATGAAAGTTTTTGGCTATGTTATCTAAAATATTTTATTCTGAAAAATATGGTGAGTTTCTAATATTCGTTTTAGCTTTGCTCTGAAAAGAATGTAAGTGATTATAAATTAACTAACGATTTTAAAAACTTCAAACTTATTTTAAAAATAGAATGTTCAAGTTTAAAAGTACATGCTCTTGGGCGGGCCGCCTTGTATGTAGGACAAGGTCATAAGTCTCACTTGATCATGTTAGGTATGACTCATATACCAGGAATTTGGAGTCTCCTGGATTTGGAGAGGTGTGTCTCTTTGAATGAAGATGTGTCTCTTATTGTGAGTCTCTTGGATTAGTGGGTTGGGGGGAGCAAGTGCACGTTTGTAAATTTATCTATGGGTTTTATTTAGAAATATATTTATAATTCTATGGGTATGTAACTTCTATGAAATAGTGAAATTCGTCGCCCGCTCTCGATGATGTAGGCATCTTTGCCGAACCTTGTTAAATCTTTATGTTTTTCTTCTGGTTTTGTATCGATTCTTGTTTTTCTTCACCCTAAATTACACAACACTTCGTATATGAGCGAGATTGAGGTTTTAGGGCAGAGGAGATTGATGCAAGAAGAAGGAAGAAGGAAGAAGGAAGAGGAAGAGGATTGCGGCGAATTGGAATAGAGGATTTCGCAGTTAGCAGAAGAGTAAAGCAGTTCACGACAGTTTTAACAGAAGCGAAGACGAAGGTTCTTCAGTTCGATGAGGAGCTTTGCAGTCGGAAATCGCATAGGAGCATTAGGGAGTTCGCGACTGCGGCAGTTTTGCACGAGAGTTCTCGAGGAGTTTGTCGAGTTTTTCCCGCGAGAGGAAGTTCGCCGACAGTTCATCGGTTCGACGGTTCCGAAGGCGATTCGATAACTGCCTGGGAGAAGGATTCACAGGTATTGCGAAATTAGGAGTCCGGAGGTTTGGATTCAGCGACATGTAGCAGTTTGGAGTTCGACAGCGAATTACCAGATGGGTCACGTGAAGAGGATTCGCCGCAGAGGTGTTCAGTTCTGAGAAGATCTTCGACACCAGTTGGATTTCGCGAAGGGTTTCGCAGAGGTGTTCGACAGAGGATTGGTCTGGACGAAGCACTCTGCAGTTCGAGGCGGCAGTTAGAGTTCGCGGGAGAGGAGCGTCGGTTATAGGAGTTCGATGGTTGGAATCAGGGAAAGAAGGGTCTTTCGTCTCCACTACAGGAATATTCCTCTTAAATTCTCTCTGGAATTTCGTGTTGCTGGAGGCGGGAAAATATTTTCCAGAGGCCGGAAAAAAAAGTTTTTTTTTTCTTTGAAGTCCCTCTGGATTTCCTTTGGTTGAGGCTGAAGACAGGAAGATTTTCTTTCTTTGGTTATTTGGCTGGAAGTGAATATTTCTCTGCTGCAGAGACGACGGGGTTCGCCAATTTCACGAACCTTCACAACATTCAGCGAGGTGGAGTTCATGAATAGGAGTTCGCGTGCAATTATCACGAACAAGAGCATTTGTGAATGGAGGAGTTCACAAATTTGTCGCAGTAGTAGTTGCGATAGGTGATGCTCAGCTAGAGGAGTTCGTAAGTTTGTCGCAGGAGGAGTTGCGGCAGGTGCAGTTGCGACAGGTGGTGTTTGCTAGCGAAATTTACAATTTTGTCGCAGGAGGAATTGTGACGGGTGGAGTTCACAAATTTTGCGAATTGTTCGTAGGTCTGTCGCAGGAGAAATTGTGACAGATGGAGTTTGGTTGGTGTCCGCAGTATTTCAGCCGAATTTTTGTGCGAACAAGAAATGTGCTTCGTGTGAAAAATTTGATTCACGAATCACAAGAAACTTTTGGAAAATTGTTGCAATTGACAGATGAAATTCCATGTTTATTTAAATTTATTTGTGGTGTGTTTTATTTCAATATAAGACAGAAAAAGTTCAATGCATGATTAATTTCAAATGACAATGTCTGGTGCAAAATTCGAGATAATGAAGTTCAATAAACCTAAGAATTCGGATTGTGGCAAACAATGGTGAAAGATTTGTTGGCACAACAATGAATTTTGAAGGCATTGCGAGCTATGAAACCTGATGATAATATCTATAAACTGTTGGGAAATACAGTTGTAGGTGAAGTTCAATCTGTCAGAACATAGGATGAAAATGTAGTAAGAAAGTTAACTAAACCAGATATTTTCAACAAGTTCTTGCGTTACTTGAACTTGTTGAATGTTTGCAATTGTTAGTTGGCATGGTTGCCCAACCCACTTCAGTGTAAGAAACTCTATGATTTTTCTTTAAAGGGGTTGGATATTCGCCAAGGTAGAGAATTGTTAGGTATGACTCATATACCATGAATTTGGAGTCTCTTGGATTTGGAGAGGTGTGTCTCCTGAAATGAAGAGACGTGTCTCTTGGTGTGAAGATGTGTGTCTCTTGGATTAGTGGGTTGGGGGGAGCGAGGGCGTATTTGTAAATTTATATGTATGTTTTATTTATAAATAGATGTGTAACCCTATGGGCATGTAACTCCTCTGAAATAGTGAAATTCACCACTCGCTCCCGAGGATGTAGGCATCTTTACCGAACCTCGTTAAAGCTATGTGTTATTCTTCTGGTTTTGTGTCAATTCTTGTTTTTCTTCGCCCTAAATTACACAACAGATCAATATGATCCTTATCTTAAATAAGAGTGGAGGTCGACGAGGCTGAACCAGTACTTAGCCAATCCAAATAATAGGGAGTGTTTCATCCATAAGAAATCATGAAGCATTTTAGTCAAGATATATTTTATTAAATAATCCTCTTACAATGGTGTCTTTAATATTACAATAATATATTCAACTCATAGACCTAATCCTCTATAAACACGGTAGAGTCGACTGTTTATTATAACCAATAAAGTAAAACGATGCTGACAAAGTTCAAATCAATCCAATCAAATTCTACGATAATAGCTGACTTGATAGAAGATTTCAACCGGGTGAGTTAACTTTCAAAACAAACTTAAAATTCAATTCTCAATTTTCAACCTTATCCTCTATAAGTAGGGCAGAGCTGATAAGGTTCAATTCAAATCAATCAAATCCTCGATGATAACCAAGTAGATGGAAGATTTCAATCGAGGGATATCATAATTCTTGAACCCAATCCTTTATAAGCATGATATAATTGACAAGATTCAGATTTAATCATGCAATTCTGATCCTTTACAAGCAAGATGTAAAGTTGATAAAGTTTAATTCTAACAAAAAAAAAAATCTCAAAAAATCGGAATAAAATATAAAATATTGATACTAAAAATCATAAAAAAAGACCAATCCACCCTCCACAGTCCGCACCAGTTTATCAAGCGATGAATTTACTTTTTATCCAAGCTCACATAGAGCCAGTGTCACATCACATATTCTACTAAATTTACTCTCAAATCAATTTTTGTTAGTAAGAACGTGACCCGTACTTCTGCCCGATTGGCTTAGCCAACCGGCTTCATAACAAAACGGTCAAGACCCGAGCTCTCTAATCGTATGATTGCCGCCAAATAAGCCCAGAGCCTCAGCTTTATTTTGCACATAGTAAGGCTTTGCTCGGGGTGGATGATTAAAGACAGCTTTAGAAGGCTGGTAACTGTTCCTGGACTCTTTTGTTAAAGTTATCACATGATTTGTGTAATGAATTCATGGCAGCAGTTTGTTGTGCACCCTTTAATGCTCTGCAGCATCCATCCTTCTTATTTAAGGCTTTCCTTTTTTTTATCACTTTGAGGTAGTTAAGTTGGGCTTGAAATTGATCAATTTATAGGACTGTGATCTTATCTTGAAGATCGTTAATCGCTAATCTCTCGAAAATGAATTCGAATTTATGATTTGGATCGGGATCAGATCCAAATTTTGAATTGAAATTCTTTGAGCTGATTTCGAGTCATACATGGGCTTGAACTGACTCGAGATTGGCTCGTAGTATTTTTTTTTATTTATAAAAATTATATATATAATGTTAGGAAAAATTGAATATAATGAGTCATAGGATGATTTCGAGCTGGAAAGGATCCAAATAACGCAATTTGCGTCGGTTTCAATTTTGAGCAGATAAGTCGATTATGAGCTGAAACGGATCGAAATAACTCAA